TGAAATGAAAGATGATGTACTCACCGACACCCACCGCGGGAATGATGCTGTTCCATGGCATCGCCGGCCGGAGGACGGTTTTGGTGGGCGGTTTGGGGTTGACCAGTGGCCAACTCTGATTGTAGCGTGTCTGGGCGTCCGTTCCGGGATACAAAATATTGGCATTGTTGAGGTTAAATTTGGTCGAGGATGACTGGTGCTGAGGCCTGGAGTGCAGCCTACGAGGGATACCTGAGATAACGGAGATGTCGGACGGCGTAGAAGTGTTTAGTTTATGCTTGATTTGTTCCAGTAGCCGCTGGGCTCTGATTTTTTCTCGGATCGTTTGATTGAGCATTGCTGAAGAAATCGTGCCATTGCAGTCAACTGTAGGAGGGACTGTGGTTGAGAGAAGGACAAGGATGAGGCCGACGGTACTGCAAGAGGACAACGTTCGTACGAAGTTCACACGATCCATTCTGATGCCAGGGCCGTACATTGAGACGGTGGGAAGGAAGGTGAGAGGAGCTTGTCCCTGCAGTGAGCACTCGGTTCAAATGAAATGTATCGTTGCTCGTAGAAATATAGAATGTGATGATAGCACTGTGTGAATTGGAGCCATGGTGCCGTTCTTCTCACGGTGTTCTTGTGAAATAAATATCCACGTGTTCAGAGGGCGTGCTGTGAGTTTCTCTTTAGCGGGCACTTGGTGAAATATAGTCCAGTTCAACAATGAGAGTTCCCTGGTGGTGAAACAAGTCCCGCACACCTCAAAGCACAGGAGTGGAATATTGTTTCGTCAAACAGGCCAGTGATCTAAAGTCGATGCCTGTTTGCTTCCTCTCAGAGATGAAATAATTCCCAGCGCGGTTCAGAGGTTCTAACGAGGCACGGACAGATCTAAGCTGCTCATTCGTCAGCCTTGAAATGCCACTGTAAAGACGTCCTCAGTAGCCATCACAACGAGCGAACAGAGAGAGGCGCGACTTATCTCCACCAGAGCCGGAAGACCAAGTCATCATGAAAGAACTATTTGGTGAGCGCTTCTGACAGAATCCGGGCCCAGTTTCTTGGTTGGTTTCTTTTTCTCTCTTTGCCACAATATCAGAAGTCTGTCGTCTCTAAATCCATGTACTCTAAAGCAATTATTTAGATAGAGGAAATCATAACCCAGCACCCCCCGATCCACAACACGTTCCTACAATAGTGTAACACGATCCTGTATTTGAAGGGCTCGGCGGCCAACGAACAAAAACAAAGGCGGGGAGGGATGAGGTGCGGAGAACCCAGGGTTCAGTGGGTACTGAGATAGGCCCCACAACCGGGCGGTCTAGGATGACGTCGATGTCGGCCCACGATCCGACCAGGAAGGACCAGGAACGTGCCGCGGGAGGGCGGCCACCAGCACAGTCGTTCGAGACGACGGGTTGTCTGTCAGTACAAGTTACCTAGTTGTGGTGAGTTGCTGGTTATAGCGCCGGTCACACCAAGGATCGTCGTCTTCACAGAGGCATCGGCTACCGCCACGGCCACCACCACCATCACCAGTGACTGGAGCACACAATCAGGTTGCGACTGGCTACGGTTTCTAAGTCCGCGAAGAGCGCTGGTAGTAGTAAGATGCGGCGGGCTGTAGTCTGTGGCAGGGTCCCCTCATTGAGTGCTGCGCGTCGGCCCTCGACTGTCACGACCTGCGGAGGAGAGGGAGAGAGAGAGAAAAAGAGAGACAGTGAGAGAAATGCGACCAACTCAGCAGCACTGTCAAACCTCAAAACGTGAACCTATCTATACACACACACACACACACACACACACAAACACACCCACACACACACGCTCACACACACACACACACACACACACGCTCACACACACAAGCGCACACAAACAAACAAACGAACAAACAAACACACACACACACACACACATACATACAACCAGGCTATGCTTGCACAATAGTCACGTGAAAGCACTTTGCAGCATCAGCAAAAATGTGTCCCCCTTTTTTTTAGTTCATCCCGTTCGTTTTGTGGCTCCGATACAACAGTAATCTCACAAGGACATCGCTTTTTTACGAATGAACAGAAACGATTGTGGGAAGAATAAATGAATGCGTACGCCCCCGTTTCTTTCTCTTCTTTACAAGTGCCCTATTTATCTTTCACGCCTTCGATTCCCATAAAGTTGACTCTCTGAAAAACAAAACAAAAACGAATTTACAGCGGCCAAGGACGAAATGTCCAATTCCTTTCTTTATGGGCTCTTTCCTATAATATTTTTTACTACTGTAACAAAGTACACACAACGTAACTCTTAATGCCCCCCTCCTCCTCCTGAAAAAAACAACACACACACACACACACACACACACACACAAACACACACATACACACATACATACATACACACACATACATTCACACACACACACACAAACACACACATACACATACACACTCACGCACCCACCTACCCTCCACTCTTACTTTTACCTCTTTTTC